ATATATATCATGACTGGTTTTTCATTACTTCACATTTTCCAGTCATTTTTTGTACCTGTACTTGATTTGAAGGCGAATTTTGTATATAGCATCATGTATAGTTACTCTGGTGAGTGAGGGTGTCAGGTCACATGATCTGGCTTACTAATCCTTCCATCATATACCTTCTCACAAAGCTAGCAATCTTTCAATCACACAAGCTTTACACCTTCCACACAATGTTCATGATAAGTGTATTATATTTCATGAAAAATATGCTATAAATGTCAAGATTATCAGAGACACTATCTGTGTGAGTAGAAATCCTTCTCTGCTATGAAAGTAAAAAAGAATCATTATCTGCTTCGCGGATGCTAATATTGTCAATAATAATTCAATTGAGAAGTTGCCTCTATTTTCTATCTCACACATGGAATTATTTCTATTGACAGACACAGAAGATCATGATAATCCTCTTCAGATTCTCACAGTGAATGCCCTTGCTGAGTGAGTCAAAGTACAGATATCAGATCACTGAGCAGCAGGCGATTATAAGACAATTCAGAAGATCATTGATTAACATCACAAACTTTTTGATCTCAATCTGAGATTATTTTCAGACAATGTGAAGATGCTGCTACAGTTCATTAATGAAGATGATTTTTCCAGACTGAAGCAGTAACTATACTCTCTCTCATGAAGAGATTGAGAAGCAGCTGATCAAATCTTGAACTCACTTATTCAAAATGAGAGAATTGAGAGAGTTTCTCTTGAGATCAAGAACTCTATCACTTTCCCTGCATTTGTGATCTGATATAAAGAGAAACCATGTGTGATTGTGAACTTGCAGAAGATCAATCTATGATTGCTTTTAAATGTGTATTCTTTACTGACACAGCAGAATGTTCTGCAGTTATTGAGTGATTTCATAGTGTTCTTATCAATGAATATCTGTCAAGACTTCTTTCAACAGCTTATAGAAGATTCTGATCACTTCAAAATCATCTTCATCACACTGCACTGAGAACTTGAACACTTTACAGTTACTACAATAGGATTGACAATCTCACCTGGATTCTTCCAGCAATATATGAAAGAGATACTGGCACAATTCTTGTGATGATTTGTCTTGATCTATGTTGATGACATCATCATCTTCTCATGTTTGCTAAATAATCATCTTCATCACATGCAGGCAGTATTCACTGTTCTCAAGGTGTCTGAAGTGATGATATTCTTATTCAAATGTCATTTCATCTACCTCTCTGTGTGTTTACTGGGCCATTATGTTGACTGACTGAGAATATTCACTCAGAAGAAGAAGATAGCTGCTATTACAAACCTGGTCTTCTCTATAATTCTCAGAGAGTTGAAGAGAGTTGTCAGTCTCTTCAACTACTACTGTGACTTCATGAACTTCTACACAGATAAGATAGAAGCACTGAAAACACTCAAGACCAGGATGCTGTGCAACAGCCTCTGAACAGGTCAGAAAAGAGCATTGTACACAGTAAGGACCAAATTGATTGAGTTTGAAGCATCCCCGCAATTTCAAGCTCTACTCACAGAGGCTCAACTTTCCTTCAATACTATCAAACAGGCCTTAATGAACACTCTCATGAGAGTATATTCTGACTTCAAGCAACTGTTCATCATGTATGTGAATTCTAGTAAACAGTGTGGGATAGGGATCGCGCTGCATCAGGTGGGCACTGATGAGATTGAGAGACTCATTCTATTTCTATCGCGATGATTGAACCCGGCAGAGAGACAGTATTGAGTGACCGAATTAGAGTGCTTGAGATTGATGTGAGCCCTGAAAAAGCTTTCTCAATACCTCAACAGTGAATTCATTGTTGTGACTGATTACATTGCACTTATATTCACTCTTCAGTCACCTGTCACAGGTCATCAGAGTAATTGATTGATGAATTGAGCTCTGACCCTTAGCATGTATATTCCGCGCATGAAAATCTGCTATTGTAAAGACACTTCACATCACAATGTTAATACTCTCTTCTGATTACACACTCTCACAGACAATTCTGAAGAGATTCCTCAAGATAATTAAGAAAAGATATGTCAAGCACTTGCTCAGCAAGCTGATGAAATCAAGAATGAGTTTATCACTGCTGTATTCAACATAGGCCTCACTCTCTCAAATGATATTAAAGATCAATTGTGTAAGAACCTACCAGCTGATTCAATCTTGAGAAAGATCTATCATAAAGTGATGTGAGAGAGAAAATATCATTCATTCACACTTCAAGACAGTCTTCTATTCTTTGTCAACAACTGTCTCTGTATTACACAGACCTTAGCAGGAGATCTCATCTGCATGTGTCACAATGCTGCTGAACACCCAGGTCTTCATTAAACAGAAGACATTGTGCACTGATTCTTCTTCTTATCTCACACTTGTAAACAGATTCTCAATTGCATCTCACATTGTCTTAATTATCAACTATCTAAGCCGTCAAATCACTCTCAGTGAGGGAAATCACATTCCATCTCATCTCTGAAAGAATCATTTGAGATTCTATCAATCAATTTCATTACAGAATTGCTGATAAGCGACAGCTGTGACACAATACTGACAGTTACAGACAAATTCTTGAAAGCTGTCATTCTGATTACTGAGTAAGAGAAATGAAATGCTCTGAGATAGATGAAAGAGTTCTACAGAGAAGTAGTCTGTCACTGACAGCTCTCACTGATTATTATCTCAGATAGAGATTTCAAATTCATATCATAATTTTGAAAGAGCATTCTTCAACAGATGAGAATCAAGAGCTGAATGACAACTATCTACAATTCTCATTCAAATGATCAGAGTGAGTGAATCAATCTCACTGTTAAAATCACCTTGCAAGCGCTTCTCATAGACAAGTACAAATCATCTTGAAGAACTCTACTCAACCAGGTGAAAAGAGTCCTGAACTCAGTAGCTGCTCATTCAGTGATAGTCTCCTCATTTGAATTGCTCACAGAAGTCAAGTCAAGATGACTGTCACTGAGAGATAAAGAAGCCTCAGCAGATGCAGCTGAATTCATCACAGTTCATAACACTGTACAGTGAGACATTCTAGATTTATACACTCTCACAAAGATTAAAATGGTGGAATTCTTCAACCACTCTCACACTCAATCAGTTATCAAGATGAGTGACTTTGTCTTCCTTAACCTGGCCTGCAAGAATGAAAAAGAATATACTGTTCAAGAATCTTCAAAGATCTTATCTCTGCGGACTGGCCTGTTTGAGATTGTTGTAAAAGTCTTCAATGTTGTCTTCTGTCTACTACTTTCTCTCAAGTGATGCATGCACTCTGTCATTTCTATCATTCATTTGAAAAAAACACTTCTACATTCTGCAGACCTCAAACATCCATTTCCAGAGTCAGTCATTGTGACTAATCAGTCTCAATTTGAAATTGAAAAGATCATCAGCAAATGCACAGAGAGGGGAAAAACATATCTTCAGATCAAGTGAAGAGAATATGAAGACCTGATCTGAGAACCTCTTAACATGATTGTGAAGAATACTTCAGATCTTGTCAAAGTCTTCATGATCAAGAGGCCTCGCGGGCGATCACATCAAGTCTAAGAGAGATGAGCAAGAAAGAGAATGTCATGAGTAGAAGTAACAAGAAAAAAGAGAGAAAAAAGAAAAGAAAAGAAAATTCATTATCACTATTTTTAACTACTCACTGCAGAAGAAAAAGAAAAAAGAAGAAAACAGAATAAAGAAAAGTAAAATCAGAGATCTTCTGCTCATTACATTCATCTCAAGTCTCTCATCAATCATTCTCAAGCTCATGTTGCAGCTTCACCTTCTGTTTAGCAAGATATGTGTCTCAGAATGTAACATTCACTGACAGACTGTCATTCATGAGATCACTGAAGCATGTCTCACTAGACAGCTTGAAGAAATGATTGTTATTAATGATGTCACCTGCAGCTGAGACTATATTAGTAAATTCCCTGATCTTGTCTAACTTCTTTCAGGCAGCCTGCACGACATTCAGATTATATTTATCAAGATTAGATGACTGTCTCAACATCTTCAGATTCTGTGTCATACAGTTAATAGTCTGATCTCTGAAAGATAAAATTGATGATCACTACTCACTGCTTATCTTGATATTCTTAACCACTCTGATAGAAGTTGAACTAGCATCCTTCTCACTAATTTGAATATGCTTGATAGGTTTCAGAGTGACTGAACTCAAGATCTTTCATTTCAAGAAAGTGAGGGTCTTCTCAGCAGAGATAAAGATCAAATCATTTTCATTCACATCACTATCTTCAATAGTGTCATTTCTGTTCACACTCACAGTCTTCTCAAACCTCAGCACACTTCTCTCAAACAGCAGATTGTCAGTGTTTTTTCCAAACCTGTACTGACTATGATGATTTAAAGAACAGTGAGCATTCTTGTTATCTCACTGACAGTTGATGTAAGTATCATATCTCTGTCAAGTCTGATTGTCATCTGAAGAAGTAATTACACACTCTTCAAATCACCTGTGACTCACTGTACAAGACTGACAAGGTATGAAAGCTACTTCTTTGCGAGTTTGAAGAATAATGACATTCTGATTAGCTGAACCTTTGAAATCAACTGTTCTCAGAGTAATTAAGTCATTATTTATCATCTGTCACTGCAACTTTCATTGCGCGGGCATTCATCTCAGCTGCTTGATCAATCACTGACTGAGCAGGACAAAAAATTTGCAGTTCATGAACAGTATTTCCTCACTGCATTCTGTGAGTCTTTTGATGATTGACACAGCATTCGCAAGTTCTTCTACAGTCAGATTCTGCATTATTGATACACTCAACTGAGCTGACTTCTCATTCTTCTGAAAGTGTAGATCAGTTTTGTCATTATAATGCAGACAGTATATACAAGTCATGCCTCACAGTCAAGGCATCTGATCATCTTCAATAACTCTCTTTCACTTCATTCTCTTCAGCATGTTATTCTCTAACATGCTACATTGCTTCTGACTATTTCTTCATCACTGTTTATCTACTTCAGTCAGCTTCAGTTTCTCTTCATCTTTCTTCTCATGAATGTCTTTCACTGCTGACTTCACTTTCACTTCTATCTGAGCTACTGACTTCATCTCATCTTCAGTTGCTGCCTCTGCATCTGTATCTCTGTCAGAGAACCCATGTGTATTTGAAGATCATGACTTCTTCAGCTCAATGAATAATGTAATAAACTTCTGTTTAAATCTCTCTGCAGTCACATCTGAATCTTTTAAGCTTCTGCTCTCAGATTTCTTCACTGACTCATCTGCAGCTTTCTGGCCATGTAACCTAGTCAACTGATAACAAGGTGCAATCATCTTTTCCTCATCACTTCTTGAAACTATCTTAGACATTGAAGAATGAGATTCTGACTCTTCAATTTCATTTATCTTCTCTGCAGTCTCAAGAAGAGTATTACACTCTTTCTGACTCAATGACTGAAATAATCTTTTCAACACTCTTCTTATACTATCTCTGTCAAGGTGATTAATCTGATTAATCACTTCTCTCACATCTAATATTCTGAATATCTTTCTTGAACTCATTGTCACAAGATCTAGATTTCAATGAAAATCTTTTATAATAATGAGAATGATGACAAAAAGATAATAAGAAAGAGAAAACAAAAATAAGAAGAGAGAGATAACTGATTGTATTATATACTTGCAGATTATTCACTCACATCATCTTCAGTCTTCTGACAGAAGATCTGTCTCTTTATCATTCTCAATTCCCTTATTCTCTTTCATCTGTATTCACTCTGCATTTTACAGTTCTTCATCTTTCATCTATTTGTTCATTCTTATAACTTCTATTATCTTGTTGTTTCAGATCCTTTATCTCATTTATAGTCATTGTTTCATTATTGCCTTATTGTATCTGTATGATATCTGTAAAAGACAAAGATTCTCCATGACATCTATCACCTTGTTATCTCAGACTCTTTATCACTGTGTTATTATCATCTCATTGTTTCAACCTCTTTCTTTACCTGCTTCTCACACAAGAAGAATATTAACCTGCATCTGAAAAATGCCTAACTCATTTCTTATTAGGTTTAGTTTTTTTTCCCGTCATCTCATTTTCAGGCGTCCGCCTCTTTTCAGACAGAGAGACTGTGATGTTTACTCTTGCTACTTTCTGAGACTTTTATCTCTTTCTTTCTGAGACTTTCATCTCTTTCTGAGACTTTCATCTCTTTCTTTCTGAGACTTTCACTTCTTTCTTTCTAAGACTTTCATCTCTTTCTTTCTGAGGCTTCTGCTCCTTCCTTCTGTAAAAGTCAATCACAATAAACAAACAAGCATGTATATATATATATATAGAGGCGTCCGCTCATCTCCATCTTGAAGAATAAGACAAGATTTACCTTTTTACATGTATGATACATGATCAGCATATACTACAGATAATGTATACTGTACTTTCTTTCTCTTTTCTTCTTTCTCTTCTTTTTTTCTTTCTCTTTTTTTTTTTTTTTTTATTGTGATTTTTTCTTATTGTTTTGTTTTTTGTTTTTTTGTTATTTTTTGTTATTTTTTGTATTTTATATTTTTTTTAATTAAAATGATATTAATTATGATAGACTGATCATGTGACTGTGTCTGAGACCAGAATCAGATTTTTTAATAGTCTCATTATCAATTCAACTGATCTCATTACACAGTTTTAACATTAGATAGTAATCTCATACTGTCTCAGTGAGACTTACTGTCTACTCTTATTACATTTTTCAAATAAGATTATGATTTTCACTTCTCAATTTAAATTATTTTTATTGCTTTAAATAACTTTAAATCTCATTTAAGTGTTATCAAAAAGTGTTACTTTTTAAAAAATTAAAAATAGTCTAAAAAAACCTTAAAATGTCTAAAAATAGTAACTTTATATCAAGAATGAGACTAAATGAGATCAAATGAAATCACTTTCTCATTTTTTTCAAGTCATGATTTCATTTTAAGATCTGACATATAGTTACTTTATATGTTTTTTTGATAGCCAGTCTCAGCGGGATTCACGCTAAGAAATGTATGAGATCAGACTAAATGAGACTAAATGTGAAATTCATAGTCTCAGTGATCAGTCTAAATTATGATCTGTGTTCAGAAAAGTAATAATATTTAATAATACTCTCTATTGAATTTTCAATAAATGAGCACTATGTTATGATATTATGTAAGTGAGAAATGATTTCATGATTTTATTTAATGTCATTTTCAATAATGAGATCAGAATAAAAATATAACTAAGAATTTAAATATATTCTTTATCTGAAACTAGATTTTTATTTGAAAAGTAAATCTGAAATCTTTAATATTTGAAATAATGTGATTTGAGATCAATGTGATGAATACAAATCATGATCAGAAGTAATACTTTTAGATAATATAATAACTATAAAGTTTGATTCTAATCTTAGATACAGTTATATAATCAGTCTTATCTATTCTGATATAGTATTAATCTCAGAGTGATAAACAGTTAATAGATAGTATATAATCTTAAGAACTTGACAGATTCTTATTCAGAGAGTGCTTATGAATTAACAGTCTTAATTTAATACTATTGATCTCAGTAATCTATATATCTGATAGAATAAACTCTGTAAGAAGACTTCAGTGCCTCAGTGACTGAATGGTTAATACGGCCACTCGGTAGCGCCTTGGCGTGGGAAATCAAGGCATGTGGGTTCGAAACCCGCAGAAGATACATTAAATTCAGAACTCAAGCACCTCAGGTTTCTAATAAATACAGAGATGTACAAATTACTTCAATAAATCACTCTATATTTCTGAGCTGGGAAGTTATTATCACATGTATCTAATTATCACTTCTTTGTATTTTCTATGTTCTTATTATCTTGGCATGATCTTAACATCTGTATTTCCTTCTGTATAATCAACACTTGGCCTGTATTTAACATCACGCAAGAACTCATCATAAGCTCCGCTTGCATATGAGTATAATGAAAGAATAATAATAATAATAATAATAATAATAATAATAAGACTTCAGTGACTTGTTCAGTATTCATCTTATTATAAGATTTCAATATTATATCATTATTATTATTATTATTATTATTCTTCTTCAATTATAGATGTATGCAGTCAGAGACTATAACATCTACCTGAGAACTTTTAGTTCTCAGAGTTTTTCCTATGTCTGTAAAGTTAACTATTATACATTCATCAATTTCAGATATACAAAATCAGAAAATTTCAGCTCAGAATATAAAAACTGTTTACAAATTGCAGTGTTTTAACATCTTTTGATACTTTGAAATCATTTGACAATATCATGACAAAGGAAAAGAGAAAAAGAACACAGTCTCAAAGATAGACACATTAAATAGATAGATAGAAAGAAATTGAAAGAAAAAGATAAAGAAAAAGATAAAGTAAAGAGAGCTACAGAATAAGATCTCTGCAGTTTACACCTTAAGCTATATACATATTTTAACACTCTATATAACTGATCGCCACCTCTGTCCTCTCAGGCCTGCTTCAGGGGTTATCATTCCCTCTAAAGGGCTGCCGCCCAGCTAGCTCCTGTAACTAGCTTACTCATAAGTGAGATTCTCACTAAGAATAACATCAGAGCTACTCAATTCTAGTTAAGTCTCTAATCTTCCAGCTGCCAATCTCAGCATTCCAGCCTATCAATTGGCTGTCACAGTCTTGCTTGCACTAACCACCTATTAAGGGCATCTAGGCCTTGTCTCACCTAGGTCCTTACTAGGCCCAGAGTGTTCTAATCAGATAGTTTTTAAATCTCATTCCTCAGAAGTGAGTGTCTAGAGTGAGAGGGATGAGGCCTGGCCAGTTAAGCTTGACAATAATTTACTATCCTGCGGGCATTCTAGACCTCAATCACTCTAGTACTGATCTAACTTGAAGTGCTTAGAGAGCTGTTAACCCTAAGATCAGTGAGAATTAGTGCCTGGGAACCCCTGGGATGAACATCTTAAGCTTGATGATGATTTGCTATAGTGCACCCAGGGGCCCCCGATACTGTTTTATGACTTAACAGTGAAAGCTGTGATTAAGATGACTCTCACAGAGTTTGAACCTGCCCTCTCTTGACATTCATTCCCCGGGGGGAAGGCCGCTAATTGAGGCTTCATGATAGCGTAGTTAACCACTACGTCACCGGGCCTCAATATTATATCTTTACTTAGTCAGTCAGTAATAATCAGAATGTTTCTATAACTCTTACTCTTAGATAGATTAATAGTGAAGTTAATTACTATATCTTATCAGATTTTATTAGAAATATTAAGGAATTTCAGTAGATCTTTTCTACAGTTCTTTCATAAGATAATAGAAGAATAGTGATTACAGTTTCAGATAAAGTATCTGATACTGTTTAATATCTCAGATTAATAGAACTCTCAGAAGATTATTCTATACAGTTGTTCACAGTCTAAATAATCAGTTATATATAAATTATATATCTCTTGCATTATTCAGATGTGTAAGAATTTAAAGTGAGAGACTCAGTATTATTTATAGAATTGTAGAGTATTACTATTATTGATTGAATATTCTGAGATGTTGATTCTTACATGTAATTCTGAAAGAAATCAGAGTGCTTCTTATTATACTGCTTCAGTGAGTACTTGAAGAAGTTTATCAGTTTAAGCTGCTGTATATTATAGCTCATCTAATATAGATTCAGAAGAAGTTGAGATATCAGTGATAGTTCTAATTGAAGAAGTATATATAGTGCTGTAAGCTGTTTTATCTTGATCAACTAGTATCTTCAGATTTAAGAGCTGATACTCTCAGTTCATTCAGTGAGTATCTGTTATATCAGATAATATATCTTACTTTTATTATAAGAGAGCATCTGTCATTGAGTTCTGACTGTCAGAACAGTAGTGTATTATAAAATAAAAGCAGTTTAAGAACTCAGATCATTGCATCTGTCATTCAGTGAGTTTATAGATAATTGTAAAGTATTTAAGATTTTTATAATCTATAACTATCTCAAATTCAGAGACACTTTGAAGTTTAGAGTCTCATTCTTCTAAACAGTGTACAATTATAAGAAGTTTCTTATCATAGATCTCATAATTGTATTCAGCAGAACTTAGTTTCTTAGACATGAAGATATATAATTATAGAACATCTTTATCATTATATTATAATATCACTTCTTCTATTATATAGTCAGAGAAATCAGCTTCAATAACTGTCTTATAATCAGAATTAAATATTATCAGTAGAGAGATATTAATGAATATCTTCTTTATCTGTGTAAATGCAGCTTCAGTGTCTGCTGATTATTAAAATACTGAGTCTTTCTTAGTGAGTTCTGTAAGTAATCTTATAATATCTGAGAAGTTTCA